GTTGTGTAAGAACTAGATGTTCTAAACTCACTTAATTCAGGCTGTGTGTTGTGCAACCAACCCAATCCCCGGGAGCGGGGGAGCTAGAGTGACTGTTAGCCAGTACCCCAACAAGAGGTACTAGAGGCCAGCACCCCAACATAGGAGTACTAGTGGCTATGCAACAGCACCCTTGCTGTTCCCAGGAAACCCTAGGATCGAATATAAAGAGCAAGTCAGCAAACCCTGGGGTTACCTGGGAGTCGATGTACATTTTTACATGTGGGGGTCTATCCAGGAGTGGCTCAGCACCCAGAAGTAATTGGTACAGCATTCAGAGCCAGACCAAGAAGGGACAATCCCTTCCCTGGGCCCCAGTGTCCTCTGTAAAGCAGGGGTCTCTGTGCTCAGCTCACAGGGGCTGAGAGGGTCAGAGGAGCACAGCACAGCCAGGTGCTTGTATGGGTTTGTTTGCCCCCTGAAGATTAGTCACAGGTGACAGAGTAACTGACTCAGATCTGTGATTTAAATGTAAAGGAATGGGAGAATTAGCTTGCCTTTGTAGACAGAAATTAGAATTTTTGTGAAACTTGTGTGTGTGTGTGTGTGTGTGTGTGTGTGTGTGTTTTGGTATGTGTGTGTGCGCGCGTGTGTACGTGCGTGCATGTGTGTGTGTTGGTGTGTGTGTGTGTTGGTGTGCACTTTCCACAGTGTGTGTGGATGGAGTTGGGACAGACAACTTGCAGGAACAGGCTCTCTCCTTCTACCACGTAACTTCTCCCCATCGGGCTGGTGGCAGGCACCTTTACCCACTGAGCCATCTCAGCAGTAGGATTTTTTTTTTAATTTTTTAACTTTCATTTTAGATTGATTTGTTTTATTTTACATGTGAGTGTTTTGCCTGCATGTGTGTCTAGCACATTGGTGTCTAGAGCGTGTGGAGGCCAGGGCCTTTGTACCTGGAGTTAACGATGGTGTGAACCAGCACGTAGGTGCTGGGAACCGGACCCCAGTCCTCGGCAAAAGCAACAGGTATTCTAACTCACCAAGCCATCTCTCTAGCTCCCTGTAGTAGGATTCCTTTTGTTTGTTTGTTTGTTTGGTTGGTTGGTTGGTTTTTTTTTTTTCCAAGACAGGCAGGGTTTCTCTGTGTAGCCCTGGCTGTCCCGGAACTCACTCTGTAGACCAGGCTGGCATCGAACTCAGAAATTGGCCTGCCTCTGCCTCCCAAGTGCTGGGATTAAAGGCGTATGCCACCACTGCCCGGCCCATAGTAGGGTTCTTAAAGGGACTTGAGCATCACTCTGTTTGATGTCAAGTCCGATGCTTGGCGTGCTGGCAAGCATCACGTGCATGTCAGTTATGGATGCATCTGAACGTGGAGCTGAAGCCCCAGAGAGTGATTGGTGGAATTTACAGGGTCTGTAAACAGAATAATAGGACTGATCAAATATGCCCTGGTGTTTAAGGGCCGTCATGTGGCTCTGAGTGTGTTGCTGTAATAGGGTGAGTGTCACCCTCGAAAACTCGTAGGTGAAGAGTCCTATAAAATACACTGACCTGAGTGGCAAGCAAGAGCAGATACAGGGTCAGCATAGCTGGGGTTCCCCAAAATCATTGGGTGATCTCCTGATACCCTCCTCCCTGGTAGCCATATCTCTTCCTATCCTACGGCCTGGGGTGCGTGTCCTATGCCCACTCTTATTTTAATGATCTGACTTGTCAGAGTTTCTGGTCCATCGGCTGGGTATGACAGGGCAGAGTGGGTTGTCCATAGCGATCAGGAGACCAAAGACCAGTATGGGAAGTGGGGAGAGACATTCAGGGAGTCAGGGAGACATGGTGTGAGGAGAGCAAGTTGGGTGGGGTGGGGTGCATCAGGAAGGACAGGGGCCAGGTCATTGAGAGTAAGTCCACAGCGGTCCTTCACTTCAGTCTGACATTCATCAATCAGTGTTATAACTTCCCTCAAAACTCGTTCCCAAGACCTGGGAGCCCACAGCCAAAGCCAGCAGAGAGGACACGCAGGCTCCAGTCCCATCACTTGAAGAACACAGATATAGTGCCAACCTTAACCCGTGTGCTACTGTATTTCTTCACTCCATTCCTTTCCCCTCCTACTTGCCTCCACCCCCTAAAAGTCTAAAGATTCAAGACTAGCAAGAGCAAAGCTACACTGTTTCAGAAGTCAGGGTCGAGGCAATGGTGGGACCCAGGCACAATGGGATACATGAAGGGATGCCATCTTGGGCACCTGTTCCTACCTCCATCCCCAAATCCTAGTACCCAGGGTGCAGTTCCAATGACTGAAGAACCCCCCCCCTTTTAGCAAAAGATGATCCAACTGTATCAAAAAATTTCAGAACTGAGGGCCTTCCCACCTTCATTGCACCAAGCACTGTGAGAAGCCATATGCATGTCTTTGAGCTGTGGTCTGATGGTATAACCAGAGGCCTGGAACAAGAGAATTATATGTGTGTGTCAAGGCATGGAGGGGTAAAGTGGCTTGGGCTCATTGAAGGTCAGCAGAAAAGCCCAGATGATGTCTCTGGCCATGGTCCCAGACACTATTACCATGGCAGGCCAGGAGCCTGGGGTAAGGAAGGCCACCAAGCACTTAGTGATCTATGCATAGCTGTCTAGTTCAGAGACCAGCTGTGAGAGGCCTGCATTTGTGCAGAGGAAGAAGCCAGGGGCAAGATGAGCACCTATGCCTTCAACTCCATGCTGGGTGTCCACATAAGAGCAGAGACTAGCCCCCACCAGGAAGCTTGTCTACATGTGTAGGCTCCGTATCCTAATGGTTGACCGCACCAACTCCTTGACCACAAGCAGTCTCATGGCTGTATGGATTGCGATGTGTTTGATGGTGGCATATTTCAAAGTAATGGAAAGAAACAAGCTAGAGCCCGGGACTTCTGTTGTTAGATAAAGAAAAGCTACTTGTGAACTCTCAACAATATGGCTGCCTCAACAAGACCAGCATAATGACAAGACCAGCTGATAGGCCGGCTTGGACACAAGTCAGTCCATAAGGGCCTACCCCAGAAGAAGAGCTACAGGTACCTACTGGCTGCTGAGAGAGGGAGACTCTGTCTCCACCAGCGATGGCTCCCGCACAGGTTATCCTATCCTAAGTGGTCAGCCTGGACACTCAAGTCACGTGGACAGTGGCCAGTCCAAGAAAAATGGACTGAGTAGGGCCAGAGAGATGGCTCAGCAGTTAAGACCACTTGCTGCTCCACTGTAGCCTGGTTCGATTCCCAGCACCCGCATGGCAGCTTGCAACCATCTGTAACTCAGGCAGGTGATCTGACACACTCTCTGGCCTCTGCAAGCACTTCCTGCACACGGTGCACAGACATACATGCAGGCAAAAATATCCACACGTGTAAAGTACAATAGAATAAGCATATTTTAAATTGACTCAGTAGGTTATACATATACTTATAAATGTGTGAGTGTGTGTGTGTGTGTGTGTGTATACATGTAACAATAAATCAAAGAAGGGATCGTGAATTTGGGGGAACTGGTAAAGAGTTGGTGGGGGGGGAGTGAGGGGCAGGAGTGATATAGTTGTAGTGCTCATGTGTGAAGTTCTCAAAAAATACGGTGTGTGAGTGTGTGTGAGTGTACATGTGTGTGAGTGTACATGTGTGTGAGTGTGTGTATGTGTGTGAGTGTGTGTATTTGTGTGTGTGAGTGTGTGTATCTGTGTGAGTGTGTGAGAGTGTATGAGTGTGTATGTGTGTGAGTGTACGTGTGTGTATGTGTGTGAGTATGTGTGTATGAGTGTGTATATGTGAATGTGAGTGTGAGTGTGTGCGAGTGTTTGTGCGTGTGTGAATATAAGCATGTGTGAATGTGTGTGTGAGTGTGTGTGAGTATGTATGAGTGCGAGTGTGTGAGTGTGTGAATGTGAGTGTGTGAGTGTGTACGAGTGTGTATGTGTGAATGTGAGTGAGTGTGTGCATGAATGTAAGCATGTGTGAATGTGTGTGAGTGTATGTGTGTGTATGTGTTTGTGAGTGTGTGTTTGTGAGTGTGTGTGAGTGTGGGTGGGTGTGTAAGTGTGGGAGTGAACAAGTTAGCAATACAGGAAAGCACATAATGAGTCAAAGGGTTCTGTAGAAATGCAAGGGTGGATATGCTATAAAATTCTAACCCTGGCCATAAAAAGAAATCTGAAAATCAAGAGGCAAGAGGAAAAATGGCCTCTTCACTAGAGGTGCCAACCGAAGGGCAGAGAATACACAGTGAAATTTTGAGGGGTCTCGAGAGTTTCGTGGCTGGTGGCTCCAGGGTTCATAAGAATGAAAACTCACCATGCTATAAAACGAGACTTGGTTACACGTCAGCTAAACACATACATTGTTTTATTAGTCCCTGTGTTCCATAAAGCTCCTGACATAATAAAGGCTGACGTGTCTCAGCTATGGGTCATCGGCCAGGTGTGGGTAACAAAAGCCGAGCTGTGCTGCTGAGGAGACACAAGCGTAGGTGCCTGTGAGCCTCTGCTAACACCTTCACGATGCCCTGTTTAATGTGCTGCTGCTTCACTGACACTGACTCTGGACTGCAGCACCAGAACTCATACATGGGCTATACATGTTCTCTTCACAAGACACAGTAGGGCCTTTTGAAGCTTACACCTGCGGCCACTTTAATGGTAAGATCACCAGTAAGAAGCCCAAATGCAAGACCATGCCCTAAAGAGATGGGGGAAACGTCTACCTGTCCATTGGTGAGCCCGACTTTCTCAATGAGTACCTGCCTGTGGACGACTGCAAATGTACATCCAGTATTGATCTTAGGGCTGTAGATAAACTTCAGTGAGTAGGCATATTCACGAACACAGAATCTGCAGATCTGAGATAATGCTCTGATGTCTTGTGCAATATCCAAACCGACAGGATAGAGTCCTCATGTGACCTAAGTCCTTGGCCAGCCAACCTGCCCGCTGTCCCTTTTCAAAGCAAATGCTTAGTCCTTGCTCCAACCTGACCCCTCCTTGGGTCAGAGATGGGTCCTCTCCAGTGTCTACCTCCCGCAGGCAAGTGAGAGCTTAGGGATTTTCAGAGCATTCATGGAGATACACGGGAGAAAGGGGGGATGCAAAGGGATGCTGTGAGGGGCACGGAGGCCTCCGAGGGCTCCACAGCACAGCTCATAGTCAGGTGTGAGTAGAACCAATGAAGGCCTCCTCACTAATGCCAAGGCAACTGGACTGCTCTTGTCTTCGTCAGACCCCAGTTCAAGGTCGGTGGGTAGATGAGTGGTGTGTGGACGTGCTTCTACTTCTTCTATAACACCATCAGAAGGAGTCTCAGGGAACCCAGGAGGAAGAGAAAAGAAACAGTCTCCAAGGACAAAAGATAAAAGGCGCCAGGCAGTGGTGGCACACACCTTTAATCCCAGCACTTGGGAGGCAGAGGCAGGTGGATTTCTGAGTTCGAGGCCAGCCTGGTCTACAGTGTGAGCTCCAGGACAGCCAGGGCTATACAGAAAAACCCTGTCTCGGAAAAAAACAAAAAAAAAACAAACAAAGATAAAAGGCAATCCAGATGACAGAGGAATGAAACCAAGTCTGCTGCTTCTTGGGGTCCGAGCTGAAGTACCCACTCTGCCTGGTGTACCTGCTGTTTGTCTGGGCTTTGCACACCAGGCCAACCGTTCCACCTGGCTGGAAGACTTCTCTTTGGAAACACCCACGCCTGCTTGCTTTGTTCCCAGTGAAGTTCAGGCTGGCAGTGCCAGTGCTGCTCCGCCTTGCTCTGATCACAGCCTGGCTCCTGATGAGGCAGTAGTGAGCTCTCCTCAGGTGGTGGCCCCAACATGTCCACATGGGGCACACTCTCAGTGTGGGCAGGTGCGTGGGCCTCTGCCTGAGCATGCAGTCAGCACGGGGCATGGGTGGCTGGCACAGACCTGTGTGTCTGTAGGCATCTAGTGTTGAGCTGTGAGGAGCCATGTGTGCACTTCCAGCTGCGAGGACAGACTCACCCTCCAGGATGTGTGCCGCTATGGTTACTAGGAAGGAACTCCTAAAGGAGTTCGGCCCAGTGTGCTGGGTATGGTCAGAGAAAGCACATGTCCGAGGCCGCTTTGGTAATACACCAGAGGATGCCAGTGGAGAGGAGAGAGAGACACACACAGAGAGACACACACAGAGAAAGAGACCGAGAGGCAGACAGAGACAGACACAGAGACAGAGACAGAGACAGAGAGATACAGAGAGACACACAGAGAGAGAAAGAGACAGAGAGGCAGAGAGAGACACAGATGACACAGAGACAAAGAGATACAGAGAGAGACACACACACAGAGAAAGAGACAGAGAGGCAGACAGATACAGAGAGATACAGAGAGACACACACAGAAAGAGACAGAGAGGCAGAGACAGACACAGAGACATAGGGAGACGGAGAGACACACAGAGAGAAAGAGACAGGCAGGACAGAGAGACAGAGACAGAGAGAGACAGACAGAGACAGAGAGACACAGAGACAGACAGAGAGGAGAGAGAATATGGTGTCACATGCCTGCAATCCTATTACTTTCCAAGGGCTGGGACAGGAGAATCAATATTTCTAAGCTATGTAATACAACAACTCACAAAACAAGCAAAAAAGGAAATGGGAAGAACCCGAGAACAGCAGCACCCTGGCAGGTGATGTTCCTGGAGCAGAAACGTCACTGCTGTGGCCACAGAGAGCCCAAGCTGAGGTTCAAGGGAAAAACCCCACTCCTCCAGCATACAGAGCCACAAACTGCCAGATCTCTGACCTCTGACCCCAGCTACCAACTAGCTACTCTGCCCTGCTCGGGCCTCTCATTGCCTGGCCTGACCCTGAGGTATAATTCCAATGTGCCCCTACCTCCCTCATGGCCACTGCAGAAGATCCTGAAAAGATGACACAGTTTCCTTAATGCAGTTTCATGGAGGGGCTCAGCGGAATGAGAGATGGTGGTCAGACTGAGGCCAGCAGTCCTCCAGGTTGGAGCTGTAGTCACATTCCTCCTTTTGGGTAAATAAACACACCATCTGACCAAAGGCTGCCCAGGACAGAGGTGAGTTAACCTTTTTGACCCCTTCCCGGAAGGTGCCAGACCTAGGTGATGTTGGGTAACCAGAATTGCCGCTCAGACAGAAGGTCTCCGTGCTGAGGGTTAGTGGGACTGCAAGGTTTGTGCATTCTAAGAACAGCTGAGTCCTGCTACAGGAACAGCCAAGACTTACATCCCAGCTGGGCAGTGTCCAGGAGCCAGTCAGCACCTGTCTCGGCGGTACAGCACCCAGCACTCGGGCCATCCCAGCACTGGCTAGCTATTAAAGGTTGCTTTTGCCCCTGGGCTTGAGATGATCGGGCCAAGCAGGGGGCACAGAATACTGAGATCGACATGTACAGGCAACCAAGGGTGGGCTTTAATCTCGTGGCAGGGGAGCACATAAACACCTCCAAGCATGATATTGTATCCAGGATAGAAATGGCTACAGGAAATCCAGAACCCTTCCCTTTGCCTATGCTACATGCCCTCCACTCGCTTGGGAGATTCAAGGCATAAGGACGTAGATACCCTTTATTCATGTTCGTAAACCTTTTAGAGGTACTACTTCAAGCTGGAGGAACTGCTCCGTGGGCGCACAGCCCAGGCTCAGTCCGGGGAGAGCACTTCAGGAGGTCCTCGGGACAGAGCTAGAAACTGGCAAGAGCTATCTCCCGTGAAGGAAGGATGATGGTAGGGACATCGAAGATCAGCAGCCAAGAGCCGGGCTCCCGTGTGGGAGGCAGAGTGGGACCAGAGGTAGCGACGAACCTGACTAACTCGTGAGTCCACCTGATGGCCAGCGTAGGGGACAGACAAGGAACGTGCTAGGGAGCCTGGGTGGGGACTGACAGTGAAGTCAGAGCCAAAAGGGACGAGCCCTGGAATGTCCCACTCCTTTTCATCCCTCCGCCCTTGCAGAGAAGCCAGTGGGCAGGGCCTCCTTGGAGACCCCACCCCGCCCCGCCCCGGGCAGCACCGCCCCCCACGTGGCCGCCGCCGGGTGGGGCCGCACCTCCCCTTCCTCCCTCCAGCCCCGCCCGGCCCGCGAGCGCGGTTAGACTGTGCGGAAAGCAGCCGGGAGGCCGCCGCCCGCAACCCCAGACGCTCCGGCGCCGGGACACAGCACCCTGTGCACCACCTCTCGGCTGTGCCCCCACCCGGTAAGTCTTGCGGCTTCGCGGTAGCCTGGAACCCAGAGGGAAACCGAGTCTGGGGGCAGTGAGGGAAATGGTTGGGGTTGAGGAGCGGACTGCCGCGTGTGCACCAAGGTGGCCAAGAGCCTGGTCCCACGCTCTTGGCCCTCGATTACGGGCTGACACGGAGATGCTGCTCACTGCTCGCAGGGTGTTTGCCCGGGGTCGGAACTGGAGGAGTTCCCCCACCTTGCGGCTACCACATCCTGACCATGAATCAGCCACAGTTGAGAAAATAAACTTCAACTTGAGGTCCGCCTCCCGGGTAGCACAGTGCGAGCTTACGGCCCCGCCCTGCCGGCTAGCTAGCTTCTAAAGATGCCCGCCGGTGGGCTAAGGCAGGCCCTTGCACATCACTGGCAGATCTGAGGGACTGACACGGCTCTGTTTCTTATGGCAACCTCTGTCAACCCCCATCCTGGGCAAGGACGCCGGGAATGAAGGAGACCTCAGTAGGAAAGCTGAGTGGCCACCAACTATGCTTGGTGGACTCCCTAGAGGACCCTGGGGTGGAGAGGGGTCTATGAACCTGTGTGTCCAGGCTTCTAACCGCTCGGGGCCCCATGGCACATGGTGACAGGTTGGACACACCAGGAGTCAGTGGCAAAAATGACCCTGATCCTGTCTTGGGCTCCAGGTCAGTGCACCCACTCTAACGCTTGCACACCCAGCTAGAGTTGGGAAGTCCCTCCTTACCGGTCTTCATGTGGCATTTGCCTTCTCTGGGACTCAGTTTCTTCACCTAAATTTGAAGGATGAGGAGAGAGTGGCTCAGACTGGATTCCTTCAGGGTGTCACCTAGGGCAGGGAGCATTTGGGAAGCAGACCCTGTAGCAGCCCCCTATAGCAAAAAAAAAAAAAAAAAAACAAAAAAAACAAAAAAAAAAAAAAAACCGGGTGTTTGTTCTAAGGCTGGAGACTAAGGCTTCCCCTGTCCCATCCCATTGACTCCGGAGCGGGAGCAACTGTTCAAGTTGACCTAGCCAGGTTCCCCTGGGGCCAGGTAGGAGTTAGCCCTGCCTGGCTCTGCCTTCCTACCCTTTCCCTGTGCTCTCTAAGCTTGCCTCCTCTACCAGGCAGACGTACCTAAGCAGGCTGTTAGCAAGGGTTCAGCTCCTGAGCATCGAGGGGTTAACCTTCAGGTGAGGCCCCTCACTTTGTGGGGGTGCTGATGGCTGTCGGAGCTAATTGCACACATCTCCTTGTGCCGGGACCTGAAAGCACCTACCTTAAATAGACTCTGTTCACCTTCTATTAAAGTGCACTTGTTACAGGGGAAAAGTTTTAAGGCTCCTGGAAGCTGTTGGAGGAGGCAGGAGAATTGCCGGATGGTGGGTGAAGGTGCCACCTGTGGGTGCAGGCAGGCTGCTGCTGGGCCATTCTGGGCAGGGATGGTGGCGTTCTCTGGAGTAGGCTGAGTCCTTGGGCTCTGTGAGGGTGCTAGTGTGTTGGTTCCCGAGGTCTGAAGGGTGGGGACTGATATACTCTACCTCTGTCTTAAACACAGCAGGTGTCTAATAGGTGCACAGTTCCCTGGCTAGTGGACATTGTGGTTGGAGAGGGTATCTCTCTCTCTTCTAGAGTGAGCTTCAGAGTCAGTCTCTACGGGGCTACCCCTGGGACCGTAAGGGAAATGGGCCTAGGAGCATCTGATGTGGATAGGAAGGGTGGACCCCCCCATCACTAGAGGTGTGAGAATGGGGCCCTAGTATGTGGCCTTCACCCTGGTAGCCTGACCTAAATGAGGAAGGTCTTGTGAGAATGTTCAGACAGCCTGGGCCTTGAACCAAAGTAGGATCCGTTCACAGCTGCCCCTGCCCAGCACCCAGCACATGGATCTATTCACACTGCCCCTGCCCAGCACCCTGCACATGGATCTGTTTACACTGCCCCCTGTCTAGCACCCAGCACATGTCAACTCCAGCTGTATAGGAACTGGGTAGGGGAACATACCGGCTGGGCCTATGTTCCCTGTGCCCTGTCCTAAAGTGTGATTACATAAGGAACAGGACAGGCGCTAATTAGTACCAGTCCTCAGCTGGGGCTTACCTCCGTCATCCCTCAAGCACTGTCCCCAATCTCTGCTCTTCTCACCTCCCACAGTCTGTGAGCAGGCCTGCGTGCTAACAGTAGTCAAGCCAAGGGCTGACGGGACCCATCTGGCCCTTTGGCTCTCACTCTGGAGAGTATGTGAGCTACTGTCTGTTCTGACAAGAGGCACTTACAATGCCTGTGCTGTAGGCATCAGTTCCTGTCCCCACATCACCCCCAGGAGGCTGTACCCAGTGATATGCCACACAAAGCCCTCTTACCCCCGTAGCCCCTATTATGGAGGTGTTAGGATGAGACCCTGATAGGTGGCTTTCACCCTGGTAGCCTGATCTAAGTGAGCAAGTGCTCACCACAGGACAAGGTCTCAGGATGGGACACTGCAGCTCAGAGAGTGGAAGGCCTTTTCCTGGTCAGGCAGCCTCTGCTGAGTCTCTAAATGGGGTGTGTGAAAAGCAAGCTCATCCCCCAGTCTCACTCTCCTCCAGTGACTGTAATAGGGCCTGCTGCCTTGGATACCTAGTGCCTGGGCTCATCGGTCATTGGTAGGTAGAGTAGGGTGTGGCTAAGGGGGGTGTCATAGTTAGGGTTTCTATTGCTGTGATAAAACACCATGACCCAAACCAACAAAAGAGAAGCTGAGGAGGAAAGGGTTTACTTCATCTGACAGCTCCTAGGCCACATATTAGGGCCTCATTTTAACACCTCCATAACAGGGGGTACGGGGTAAGAGGGCTTTTTGTGGCATATCACTGGATATCATGTCTTGGGGGGTGATGTGGGGACAGGAACTGATGCCTCTATCACTGAGAAAAGACTGGACAGGAACTCGAGTCAGGAACTGAAGCAGAAGCCAGGAGAATGACTATGTATTGGCTTGCTTCTCATGGCTTGTTCACCCTGCTCTCTTATGGTACCCAGGACCACCTGCCCAGGGGAAGCAGGGCCAAGCCTACCCACATCCATCACTAATCATGAAAATGCACTGTAGACTTTCCCAGAGGCAGTCTGATGGAGGCATTTTCCCAGAGACAATCTGATGGCGGCATTTTCTCAGCTGAGTATTTTCTTCCCAGATGACTCTAGCACTTGCGTCGAGTTGGCTAAAGAGCGACCAAGACAGAGGGTGTGCACTAAAGACCAGGGCCTTTCACCACTGTTTGAAGACAGGATAGCCAAGGCTGCTTCCCTGTCCCACTCTCATGATGGCTTTCCTATCTGTAGGAAGCAGACAGGACAGAGGAGAGGATGGAAGAGTCCAGAGAGGAGGCTAGGTAGCCTTTTCAAGTCTCCTGCTCCTGGCTAATTCCTGTGGCATGAGGACTCCTGAGAGGGCAAACAGGCTTGAGGAGGGCAGCCTGGTCCCTAGCAAAGGCCTTGGCAAAGTCATAGTACCTGGGCAGCAGCCCCTGCCTGGGCTGTCATAGCATTCCATGTGTTTGCAGAGCTGGACTTGTTCAGAGCATCCCAGATATACACGGGTCCTGCGTTTCCGTGGATTCTGCCTTACCAGCAGCATGTGTGGCCTGTACTGACAGACAGAGTTCCTGCTGACTGGAGTCTGGGTGTAAGGCTCTTAGTGGATGGGAGGCCAAGGAAATTCCCATGAAGGGATGGCACCAATATCAAAGCCAAGTACTGAAGCCAACCAACCCAAGGCCTAGTGGCTCGGGAGGGTCACACATCTTTGCTTAGCACACCTGACAGTAGGAGGCAGAGGCTACCCAGGACCTACCACCACCAACCGCCACCATCTCCCAATCCCAGCATGGTCTTCCCTGGCACTGACAGGAAGCTGGCCCTTGCTAGTGGTAGGCGTGGCTTGGCTGCCTCCAAACTTTGTAGGCAGACTGACATCTCTGTGGCTCAGTCTCCCTGCCTGCCTGGTCCAGAGCCCCTGATCTTCTGGGCCGAGGTTTCCCTGTGTCCTTGCTTCTGCTCCAGACACAGCTCCACTGCCTCCTGAGCAGGGAGGTAGACAGCTGCTCCCACTTGGCCTAGGCTGGGAGAAGGTACTACCTGCCCCATGCTTCTCTCTGTCCCACACGTGGCCTGAGAACAAGGCATCTCTCTCAGGGACACCCACACAGAGGGCTCAGGCTGTGGAGGTAGAGACAGGAGTAGGGGCTGGACCCTTGGCATGTTACAGAGTTCTGCAGCAGGTTGCAAGGAGATGGGCTATCTCTAAGAGGGATAGGAGGTCACCTCTGAGACGGGCGAAGGGTAAGCAGTAGATACGTTGTACTTACAAGCCTGATGGTTGTCGTGCGGACAGTGCTGGGTCAGCCAATCCATACCGAGTGTCTAGGACTCCTTGGTGAACATCCTGGCCAAGAAAACCCAAGTCCAGTGTGGGCTGGCTCTTACAAGAGCCTTGGTGTCCTCATTTCTCAGCCAGGACTGTGAACAAAATATGTTCAACCAGGCTGAGGATCTTGCTCGCCCGGTTGGGCCTGACAGGCTCCCTGGGGCCGGGTGTCTGAGGAATGCTGTATTGGGCCAGGGAGACTTGAGCTCAAAGCTAAGAAGATAGACTATCAGGGCACAGCCGACCCTGTGCAGTAACTGCAGTTAAAGCAACATTCTTTTCTGACAGCCGTGATGCTGGCAGTAACACGCTTGCCATCCATCCTATGAAGACAGGAACAGGAAGTCTGCTGGGTTGTCTAAGGAACCAGCAGGTCAGAGGTGAAGCCCTCTCACATGGAAGCGGCCTTGTCTTCTCTGTGAGCGCTGGCTGCTGCCCCTGGCTGTGCTAGGGGACATAAGTGATGTCCCTCCCCCACTCTCTGTGTCTTTGTTCTCTTTGCCCCTGGGAGTGGGGGGAGCTTGCAGCTGGACACTGGCAGAGGGTGGGGACTTGATCTGACATGTGAGTGGACAGGACAGCTTTCCCATCCTGGGCACGGACAGGGATGAGGCTGGACTCTGAGGGCAGACTAGCATACAATGCTTGCTACCTGCATCCTGAGGGACAACTATTCTTCCCAGACTTGGAGAGGCCTTGCCAAAACAAAACCATCTGGGGGAGTCAGAGGGCACATGGAGCCTGTTAGAGGAGGGATTGTCCAAGAATGACAGATTTTGGAGAGAAAGAACCCAAGCAGATGAATTCTAGGGTGAGCCTGAGGTCCCCCACCCCATCCTCATGGCCACAAACTCCGGAGTGCAGCCCTGCAGATGCAAGGAAGTTGAGGTTAGGAGCTGGGATCTGTAGCACACTCACCCAGAGCCGTAACCCTGCCTTCCTCCCTGCGGAGCCTGGCAAACCCAGAACCCTAGATCTGTGTACCTTGTTCCTCTCCCTTCTGTTGAAGGGGCTCAGCCCCAGGAGGAGCTCCCTAGCCCATGTGCTCAGAAGGTGTGCCCTCACAGATGGCCACTGTAGTCATCATCCCCCTGTGCCTAACCACAGCCCTCAGAACTTCAAGAATGTCAGAGGGGGCCGGACGGCCAGAGTACACCTTTCATCCTCGTACTTTATGCAGCTGGAGAGTCGGGCTGAGAAAGGGGCCCCTCTAGCGACATTGCAAGTTCTAGGACAGCTTGAGTCCCCACACCATCCCAGAGCTGGTGGAAGTGAAAGCAGGCTTCCTGCCGTGGGCGCCTCCACCCTTCCGGTCTCCGCATTGCCTGAGGGGAGGAGGGCATTCTGAGACCACCCTAGCCTGCCCACAGAATCCTAGACACACTGATACCCAGCACCAGATGCTTTGTGCAGG